TTATTTTAAAACATTTAAAAATCCTATGGACCCCAAACTTTAGTACGGTAGTGTATATATAGTATTTTTGAAGTGTATTTTATAGTATATTTATATTTTAGATTTTAAAAAGCTGAATTTTAAGCAGCGTCACATAATTCTACAGACATTTTGATGACATTAGCTGTTCTGCTTGATATTCTTTAAGGAATACAGACTTTTGTAACAACAAAAACATAGCTTACTGTTATTTGACCACACACACACCCACCCACCCACCCACACACACACACACACACACACACACACACACACACACACACACACACACACACACACACACACACACACACACACAAACACACACACATATACACACACATACACACACAGTTGAAGTTTTTTTTTTTTTGTAAAGAATTTATATTCTTTTTTTCAACTATTTCCCAAGTGTTGTTAAAACAAATGGTAACACATTTAAAAAAAAATGACTGTTTTAATAACGAATCAATAACGAGCTTTAGTCTTTGCCATGACGAGAGCACATAATATTTTCCTAGTTATTTTCAAGATACAAGTTATCACAGACACCAGATATCCAGTCCAAGCAGATCCCTGGAGAACTACAAATCTGCCAGCAAAAAAACTACAAGATCCAGTCATGCAACACACACACACACCTGCTCCGAGTCTCCATTGATTAGAATCACACAGCTGAAGACTATTTCGACTATTTATACACCACACAAACAAACAGAAGTTGCGGAGTCTTGTTAAACTGTATAGTTTTGTTTTGCTTGTTCATTTTTATTTGCTGCCTGCTATTTGACCATCTGCCAGTGTATTCGACTTCGACTGTTTACTGTTATAATAAACCCTGCGTTTGGATCCTCACCTCCCTGTTGTCAGCGTCCAGTTCACGTTACACTAGTATTTAGCTTAAAGTGCAATTTAAATGCTTAACTAGGATTAATTAGGCAAGTTATTGGACAACAGTGTTTCGTTATAAAAAAAAATAAAAATTTCTTAGAGGAGCTAATAATAATGACTTTAAAAATATATATATATTTTTTAAACTGCTTGGATTCTTATTTCCATAAATGGGGATGTTTTCTGAATTTATGTGTCCCTCTTCAATGCTAGCAAACATGTAACAAGATTCGTCTTTCGGATGAGACGTTAAACCAAGGTGGTCGTTAAAAATCCCAGTGTGTCCTTCAAAACAAGAGGTGGGGGGGTAACCCTGGCATCCTGGCTTAATTTGCCCACCGGCCTCTGTCTATCATGGCCTCCTAACCACCCACATATTATAATTGGCTTCATTACTCTGTCTCCTCTCTACCAATCAGCTGGTCACGTCACGTCATCCAAGTGGATGCTGCACATGGGTGGTAGATGAGGAAATTCCCCCAAAATTATTATTACTATTACAAAAAAAATGGCAATGATATTGGCAACCCCCCCCCCTTATAATTAATACATTAATTATGTAATATGCATATACATTTAAATGATGTTATTTATATATTTTATTGATTTATTTTGTATTGTTCTGTATTTGTATTTGATATTCATCTGCTTTATTTGCAAATAAAATATAATAATACATTTAGATCATTAAAAAACTGTTTTGATTCTAGCCAAACTAAAGAAAAAGGTTTTTCCAGATATATATATACACTGTAAAAAAAAATCGCAAGTTTACGGTTTATTTCCAGCAGTTGGGGTGCCGGGAAAAAAACGTTAAATAGCAGCCGTTAAATTACAGAAATATATCATAAAATAACAGATATTAAAGTACAGAAATGTCCTTAAAATTAAATTTCTGATAAATTTCTGTAATTTATTTAATATCTGTTATTTTATGGTAAGTTTCTGTAATTTAACAGACATTATTTTCAGTTTTTTTTTTTCCACCACCCCAGCTGCCGGAAATATACCATAAAACTCTGAACTTTTTTACAGTGTATAACATAATAGGAAAGTTATGATTGTGATAACAATATGATCAAAATATTAATAATTCAAAGTATTTGTTTATAATGATGATTCAAATTCATGTCAATAGCCATTTTCCCGGATCTAAAATTGGTCTTTTACAAAAACAATATTTTCTCTTAAACTTTCTACGGACCCTTTAGGGCTGACTTTGCAGCCTCTGGGAGTCCCTAGATGAAAGTTTTTCCAGCTTGAACAGGATTTTTCATAAGAAATAAACTTAGGGAGGAAGTAAATGTCAGAATAGATCCAGGTGGTTGGAGAGTAGGGGTGAATTATAAGACAACTTACAGCTGACAACGGTCACTGAGGAAAACACACAAGAGCTGCACAGTACAGGAAAAAATTTTTCATTGAACTTTTATTTTTCTGCAATATACAGTTGAAGTCAGAATTATTAGCCCCACTTTGATTTTTTTTTCTTTTTTAAATATTTCCCAAAGGATGTTTTACTGTCATCATGGCAAAGATAAAGTAAATCAGTTATTAGAAATGAGTTATGGAAGCTATTATGTTTAGAAATGTGTTGGAAAAAAAATCTGCTTTACATTAAACAGTAATTGGAGAAAAATAAACAGGGCGGGTGGGGGGGCTAATAATTCTGATTTCAACTGTATATTGTGAAAATTGGGGACAAATTTTACCATGATGAAGTGAATAGATTGAAAAGAATTCATAATTTTAGATTGATTAGGAATGCATTTAATGGAATACATCTGCATAAAGTATAATCAACCAATCACAAGCATTGATAAATACTGTAGAGAAAACATACAAAAGACAAAAAAAAAGGGTTTTCTGGGAGTCTAGCAGTATTCGGGTACACAAACTGAATCATTAAATGTAACGTAACACTGTATAATGTTCATTGTTTAAAATATTCGCCTTCTCGTGAATTACTATTTCATTTTTCAAATATTTACCAAATCAAGTTTAACAGAGCAATGATATTTTCACAGTATTTCATATAATATTTTTTCTTCAGGACAAAGTCCTATTAGTTTTATTTCGGCAGGATTAAAAGCAGTTTTTAAAATTTTTTTAAAGATTTTAAGGTCAATATTGTTAGCTTCCTTAGGCAATATTTTTTTCAACTGTCTACAGAACAAACCACTGTTATTCACCTTATTCTTACCCAACGAGTGGGCACAGCCATTTGAATCTTTTTGGCTCGAGACTTCCGGTCTGATTTACTTCCATTTATTTTTGGCCGTTAAAAACTGCTCGATACGCTGCTTGATATTGCAAACTGATATTTTCTTATTATATTATTCTACTTAGTCTGAATAGTAATGCAAATATTTGTTTGCAGAGCAAGTAGTTTGACCATTTTCTGCCGTTTATTATTCCTAGTCATTTCTCCCATAGGCGACTGGATCGAAAGTTCTAAAACAATCACGAAAACTGGCGCACTTCCACATTTTAGAATAAGTTCAATACAGTGAGACTGATTCCTGTGACGCTCCAGGGACAGATGAGTCTTCGCTGAGGTCCAGCATTCTCCTGCCTCCGGTGCCTAGACTGCAGCTCTGCGCAAGACGTTTGGCCATAGAAGAAATGGTCGTGCGCAACTGAGCCTGGTTTCTCTCGAGGTTTTTTAATTCTTCACTTTCGCCAATTGGTGAAGTTTTTTCCTCACCACTGGCTTGCATGGTTCGGGATCTGTAGAGCTGCGCATCAATGGATTTTGCTCTTCAGTGTTTGGACTCTCAGTAGTGATTATTAACCAGACTGAACTGAGCTAAACTGAACTGAACTTAAACACAAAACTGAACTGACACTGTTTCAATTTACTTTGATCTTCTATGTGAAGCTGCTTTGACACAATTTACATAGCAAAAGTGCTATACAAATAAAGGTAAATTGAAATTGAATTGAATTATACAATTTGCCTAATTAACCTACCCCATTTAAGTCTTTAAATTGCACTTTGAGCTGAATAATAGTATCTTTGAAAATATCTAATCAAATATTACGTACTGTCATCATGGCAAAGAAAAACATTGGCAAAACATTATAATTTTTCTGCCTGAATGCTTAGAATTGGCTTGAAATGCACAGGTCTAAAACACACATGCAGATGATTTTTTGGTAACTTTATGATTCAACTTTTCACAAATCACTTGCGTTTTCAACAGTGACTCAACTATAATTCTGCCTTAACATTAACATTACATATGCTGCGATGTGTCTGTTGTGGATGCACACGTTGCAAAATCGATACGATATACAGTTGAAGTCGGAATTGAAGCACCCCTAATTTTTTAGCCCCCTTGTTTATTTATTTCCTTAATTTCTGTTTAACGGAGAGATTTTTTTCAACACATTTCGAAACATAATAGTTTTAATAACTCATTTATAATAACTGATTATTTTAATAGACAGTAAATAATATATGACTAGATATTTTTTGAGACACATCTAAACAGCTTAAAGTGACATTTAAAGGCTTAACTAGGTTAATTAGGCAGGTTAGGGTACTTAGGCAACTTATTGTATAACTATGGTTTTTTTCGGTCCTGGAGGGCCGGTGTCCCTGCAGGGTTTAGCTCCAACTTGCATCAACACACCTGCCTGGGTGTTTCTAGTATACCTAGTAAGAGCTTGATTAGCTTGTTCAGGTTTGTTTGATTAGGGTTGAAGCTAAAATCTGCAGGACACCGGCCCTCCAGGAACAAGTTTGGTGACCACTGCTGTAGACTATTGAAAAACATTTAGGTTAAGGGGGCTAATAATATTGTCCTTAAAATGGATTTAAAAAAATTAAAAACTGCTTTTATTTCAGCCGAAATAAAACAAATAAGACTTTTTCCAGAAGAAAATATATTATCAGACATACTGTGAAAATTTCCTTGCTCTGTTAAACATCATTTGGGAAATATTTAAAAAAGACGTAAAATTCAAAGGGTGGGATATAATTCTGACTTCAACTGTATATGATTGAAATCGATACAAAATTTGAAACGATATATTGTATTGTATTAGATTATATTGAAACACATTCTCTTGCAGCTCGCTCTTACCCTGTGGAAAGCGGATGGTCCAGTAAATGCTCAGACACTGTTGCTCCATGCGAGACCCTCGCTGACACTTGCAGTCCTGCAGCGGCTGGTAGTGCATGAGGGTGTTCTGGGCATCGACGCAGAGCTGCCGCGCGTCCAGATTCAGTGGAGCCACCGCTTCCTCGTCAACACAATACTCCAGGTGCCGGAACTGACGCTTGCACTCCGGCTCCATCATGCATTCCTGGAGAGCCTCTAAACAGCCCACAGATTCAGGGAACACCGGCACCACAGAGGAGACAGACCCTGGAGGATTGCGAACAAAGTCATTTTTTTTGGAAATCAATTAACCACGTGTACTTTAAAAAATATGCTTTAGTGACGAGCTAATTGATTTTGCAGACTGCAGTTGGCATCGCAGACAGATATTTGGCTACGGTCGTGAGCAGGCCCAGATGGAATCACACATTTTCTGTGTGTATGTGTGTGTGTTTTCATACAGCCTTGTTTCTATATAGTTGTAATTCAGCAGTGGGATGCGTTTAAACATCGTTTTAAAAAGCGCTTGAATATTTTAAGCTTTTTAAAAAACAATGAAGAGTTTTTTGAGATTCGAGGTAGCAAACAGAATGGAAGGTAAGTGTGTTTATATAGCACATTTTATACACGATGGTAAATCAAAGTGCTTTAGATAAACAAGAATAAAGAAACATTCATTCATTCATTCTCATTCATATTGACGTTGTACCCCAACCTTTGAAATTAGTTTGAAAATGAAAATCAGGTTTACATCAGAACCCAATGTCAGGCTGACGTCAATGTCCAACCTAAAATCAACCAAATATTAACATCTAATCATGTTACATCTGTTGTAAAATAGGTTCAGTTTTTTATTATTTTTGTCTCTTTTTCTTTTAATCAAACAATTATTAGTATTGGTCATGTAAGGGTCATATATTAACTGAACTTCTAATGTTGTGTGTGAGTGCTGTGCATACTAATTAGCATTTTTGCAGAAGTAGATAGGTGCGGGTCCAAAATAAAATTCAGCTCTGCAGAAACTTCCTGTCTGAAGAGAGGTGTTAAAACTGAACACAAACCACAGAAAGATGTATGCTTTGTTGTTGTGCAGAGAATTCATAGAAAAAGAGGAAGTATGTCGAAGGTGCGGCCAATGGAGGACTGAACAATGACTGACAAGTGACGTTACACCAAAACTCCACCTGTTAAGATCGGTTGTGTATATATGCTGAAGTCAGGTAATGTATGTTAGTTGCGAACCTCTTGAATGTAATTCTTGTATTGCATTGGGGTAACGTAACCCAGAGCTCTGTCATCGAATTATTCATTTGTATCCAATAAATTGTTACGATTTTTGACATTGAAGAAAAACCTCTCCTGACCTTTTCTATTGAACACGCATGGAATTGGCTAGATATTCCAACACATCTTGTGGACGTTACCACTATGACATCCATCAGATGTTGGTCACAGCTTCTGGTTCATGCGGACTTTAAAAAATAAATGCACAAAAATAAAGTTATTTTGTCCTAAAAGAAGGTCTAGATTCTGTGCCGATGAGTTTTCAGCAATAGCAGTTTGACTTCTAAAACTGTTCTCCCTTTTACATGTGTGTAATCTTCACTGCTGGCCGTCTAAAACCAGAACAATTCATTAGAATCACTGAGGCTGTGAAATGTCTTGCACATTGTTGTTTATGATGAAGAATGCATTCAACGTAAACAGCTGGGAAAGGATTCAAAAGTTTACATTAGATTTGAGTGTTAAAATGATGGCAGCATAAAACACAGTGCCTACCACTGTCTGATGCTCTTAATATAAAGCAGAAGAAAATCAATCATTGCTCTTGACTGAATAACATTAGTAGCCTAATAGGAATACATTTCTTTCCTAAATGAAGTGATTCTGACTGACCGTCAGTAATGGGTGGGGCTTGCGGCCTCACAGTTGGATGAAATGATTTATGGGGATTATAAAAAAGCTGTGGGGGCATGGATTTTCATCATTATGCTGGTTGTTTACACACTTTGGACACACGTCAGTGTTCAAACACTAAGTAAAAGTGAATTTTGTCCCCTTTAACGATCTTCCTGGAAACAAAGCAGTGACGCCAAATCACCTCACAGAAGAAGAAAACCACATCCGTGACAATGAACGCTTAATAATATAAGCCAAACAATGGATTTTCAAAATTAAGTGTAATTCTCTCTTGACAAGTAAACACAATGCTCTTGAATGGATGATGTATTGCTTGCGTGCCAGTCTTTTATTGTAGTTCCATCAACTTTACATTTTCACAATTTAAAGTTTTACATCGCCTTCATTTCTCTAAAACTAGATTAAGTAAAATCTTTCCCTCTGTATCTCCTAAATGTGACAGATGTGGTAGAGCAGAGGGGACTTTGGCACATTTATTTTGGTTTTGTCCTGTTCTTTATGAGTTTTTGGTCCAGCATCTTTGAGTTGTTTTCCAGTGCTTATGGAACCACTATCCAACCTGACTACAATTTGGCTATTTTTGGATATTCAAACATAATGGACACTTTTCCTTCAACCCAACAGCAAGCCCTGATGGTTGGCATGATCACAGCTAAAAAGATGATCTTACTTAATTGGAAGTCTCCAAAGGCTCCCTGTTTTAAGAGATGGTTGAATGAGCTGCTTTATGTCTTTCAAATGGAGCGACTACGTCTTGAAACTTCACAGAAAAAAGCTGAAACCACATGGGGACCTATTTTAAGACTCTTGGGAATCTAGCATTTTACCTTTGGAAATTTTCATCTCTAACTCATATATTCATGACACTGACTTTGTAGAAATGTGAATACTGTCATCTTTTTAAAATTTTGTTTATGCTGTATACTTGTGTATATTTGATAACTGAGACGATTCCTCCCTTTGTGTTTTTTTTTTTTTTTTTTTTTGAGGGGGTGGGATGGGGCTAATGTCAATTATTTTGTATTGTATTTATTATTATTTTTGTATTATTATTTGTATTGTACTGTGTTTGTTAAAAATCTTATAAAAATGGTAAATAAAACAAAATATTACAAAAAAAAAAAAAACTTTACATTTTCACACTCATAAATATAACACTAAAGCAAAACAACTGCGATTGGATGATTTAAAATCTCTTGGGCAGTCCTTAGCCAATGAAAGGCTTTCTGACGTCAGTCTCAAAGTCTGGCAACACAAAAACACATTGTCAAAATATTTTTGCTATTTAGTAAATTCAACTTCCAGTCCTTTAACTCTTGAACCAAGGCAGCCATTTTGACCATTTTTAAGTTTTGCAGTTCAATCTCTTTAAAAATCTAACCATATAGTAGCCAGGATTTTCTTAACCCCTTCCACAGCGCCCCAACAAGGACGCACTGAGGCGCTGTTTTTTCCACATGTCAATGTTTATGAATAGATTACACCAAAGAGGACAAGAGTAATCTGTCCCACTTTATATTAAGTGGCCTTAATATGTACTTACACAGGAACTAATAGTTTGTTATAATGTACTTATTGTGTAAATACATGTATTTACTGTGTACTTATGCTTGATTAAATACCTGTTTGTATTTACATCTGTAATTAACTTTTGTAATTACATTTGTAAATACACTGTTGACCAATCCCTACATCTTAACCCACCCTTAAACCTACCCACACCACCAAACCTGTCCATAACCCAACCTCTATCCCAACTCAAGAGCACCTCAAGTGTTCTCAAATGCATTATAAACACAGTAAGTACATTGTATTTATTTTTTGATGCAAGTACATAGTAGTTAAGGACACTTAATATAAAGTGGGACCAGTAATCTTGAAAAACTCTACCTCAGTTTAAAGCTACATCCCCTAAGCACCCATTGCAGCTAGTTGTTTTTCAATGGAAAGCTTATAAAGAATGTATTGGCTAAATTTGTGCAAGTTTGTGCAGAAAACGCTTCTTAGATATGGCGTACATATCATGTAATAACAACACACACACGCATTGCTGTACATCACGATTTATTTTGAAAGGTAAGAGTCCACAGAAAAACATCCGAACACATTTATCCACCAACACAATAGTGTTAAATTATGGATGATGTGTCTCTCTAACATTGCTAGATTATTAAAATTAGAAATTAATAAAATTAGTTGAGAAACATTTGCCTTGAAACATATGTGCCTAGCAACTTTCTGCTAACAAAAACAGCTTTACTTCAGAAATGTCTTTCGAAACAACATATTCATCACTGTGAAAAAACTTGGCTAGACAAAGTGAGGTACACAACTTTACAGATGGTTTAGTAACAACTACACACTCACTGGCCACTTTAATAGGTACACCTGTCCAAGTGCTTGTTAATGCAAATTTCTAATCAGCCAATCACATGGCAGTAACTCAGTGCATTAAGACATGTAAACATGGTCAAGACGATTTGCTGCAGATGATTTAAGTGCCTTTGAACGTGGCATTGTTGATGCCAGACGGGCTGGTCTGAGTATTTCAAAAACTCCTGATCTACTGGGATTTTCACGCACAACCATCTCTAGAGTTTACAGAGAATGGTCCGGAAAAGAGAGAGCATTCTGTGAACGGCGGCTCTGTGGGCGTAAATGCCTTGTTGATGCCAGAGGTCAGAGGAGAATGGCCAGACTGGCTCGAGCTGATAGAAAGGCAACAGTGACTCAAATAACCACTCGTTACAACCAAGATTTGCAGAAAAGCATCTCTGAATGCACAACACGTCATACCTTGAGGCAGATGGGCTACAAAAGCAGAAGACCACACCCGGTGCCACTCCTTTCAGTGAAGAAAAGGAAACTGAGGCTACAATTCACACAGGCTTACCAAAATTGGACGATAAAAGATTGGGAAAAACGTCACCTGGTCTGATGAGTCTCGATTCCTTCTGCAACATTCAGATGGTAGGGTCAGAATTTGGCGTCAACAACATAAAAGCATGGGTCCATCCTGCCTTGTATCAATGGTTCAGGCTGGTGGTGGTGGTGTAATGGTGTGGGGGATATTTTCTTGGCACACTTTGGGCCCATTACTGCCAATAGAGCATCGTGTCAACGCCACAGCCTACCTGAGTATTGTTGCTCACCATGTCCATCCCTATATGACCTCAGTGTAACTATCTTCTGATGGCTACTTCCAGCAGGATAACGCACCATTGTCTTAAAGCATGCATCATCACTTTGACATGACAATGAGTTCGCTGTACTCAAATGGCCTCCACAGTCACCAGATCTCAATCTACTAGAGCACCTTTGGGATGTGTTGAAACAGGAGATTTGCA